AAAAAAAAAAGAGGACCAAAATGTGAAGGATTGCTGGCAGGCTGCAGGATGAGACAATGAGCCAACAAACAATTCAGTGTAGGTTCAGTTTGCATGCGTGGGGAAAAAAAAACCTGTATTATATTTTGCATAGGTGATGATCAATGCCAGGCAGACTTGCCTCTCAGGAGCCTCTCCTGAGCTATGATAGTTTACTGAACACATCAACCCCATAGTTGCTAGCATAAAATACCAAATTATGTTAGGAAAGGAGTGAAGGACAAAACTGGTAACACATTGCTGCTGTATAAAATCATGGTTCAGCAATGCTTTTAATGTAGTATGCAGTTCTAATTGCTTATTTTCAAAAAGGATACCAGACTGAAAAAAGCCATCTGCACTATAGAATGCTTTTAGTGTAACAAACATGGGTAGAAGAGACCTGATTGGCCTGAGAAAGATTGTAAAAAGCAATAAAGCTGTGTGTAAAGTTTTGTATAATGAAATCAAGTATCTAGAGATGGATTGAAAAAGTGCAGTTGAATCTTAAGTTTCACTTACCAGCTTTCAGTTACTTGATTCATAGTGAATTTTAGCTCCCTCAGAAGTAATTCTTAAGGAGGTCAAAAAATATTGAACCTAGAGGGCACTGTTCCATGTAAGGTTTATGTAATTCCACAGATTTAGTCTGGTAGTGTCGCAGACTCTGCACATGCATTTCCTCCAGTGTTCCTTGCTGTGGAACCAGCACTGAGTCAGGGAGTACATTCACTGGGGCAAGAGCACAGACTATATAGCTCTGTCCTTAGTAGCCATTAATGTTTCTATGCCTTCCAACAAGCTTCTGTGTGTGAGAGAATTTCTCCTAAACTAAAACTGCTAATAATCCAGGGGTTAGATTATTGCAGGAGCAAAGACCAAAGAGAACATTTCCTTAGGATGTAGTAAGCTCGACAGGGCGCTTAAGGTTGGACAAGAACTGACAGACTCGACTACTGCTAGTATTGACCTGGAGTGAATCTGCAGTGGAGGGACAGTACAGAAGCTAGCCTGGGGTGCTGCAAGGGAATGAGACTGAAATGCATATTCATGCAGGTTAGCAACACTATTTCTGCAAATCACTGTAATATCTACTGGTAGTTTTCCTAAACTAATTGTAAAGACAGACTGTAACTCTCCCTACTGCTGCCTCCTTGAGGAAGGAATGCAACTGTTAAATACCATGGAATAACATTTGTCTTTTTAAATGCCAGCAGTATTTAAGAGTTATCTCAAGTTAACACCTTGAGAAAAGTTAACAAGGTGTTAAGACAGTTATTCGGTGAAATTGAAAGTTCATCTATGGTTGCAGATACAAAGACTTTCTGGGGTTTTCATATGTAATCAGCTGAAATTGATGATTAGAAATTGTATACCAACAGGAAAAAGATTGACTCGTGCTACATGCCCCTTTGAAGCTTTCTTGTTATCTTAAAACTGTGACAGTCTAATTTCAGGCACGCCTGAATTACTTCTGATGCATATGTGTTCCTTGCAATACATCATCAATATTCAGATACTATTACGTAATAGTTGCATGTGGTAAAGCTAGAGAGGAATAATCAGGTTCAAGGTAGCTTCATAAACGGCTTCCAATACTAGTGTGAGGAAAAATGTGTTGTATGGTAACAATATTGTTCTTGGATGCTCTAGAAGTATGTAAGAAATGGTACAGCTGGTTCTTGGAGAGGTGAGATGTAGCCAAGATTTAAAAATTCAGACTCCTTGTGCAGCTATGACAGATCACTTGTATACAAGACGAATTTGTCTCTGAGGACTTCATGTAGTATGCTTGATTTCAAAAGTGCTTTGGAAATACGAAGCGCAAAGCAATTTGAAGTATCATGGTGCTGTTTAACCATCAATTACTTATAACAGCAGTTCAGAAGTGTTGCTAATAACATAGTATTTCCTGTCCTTACAATTAACATTCCTTTCTACCTGAACTACAGTTTTATTACCTGATAGTGTAAGGAAATTCTTTGCATTTCATCAGTGTGAAAGACTCTGTGACATTAGGTTTGAAAGAATATATATGAGCATATTTATTGCCTGCCATGTTTGCTTTTCACAGTAGAATATGGTTCTTTGAGGTGCATTTCTTCAGTCTTGAGCACCTGGTAATGGCTACTTACTGATATGACTTTCTTATTTTGTAGTCACAGCTTGGAGGCAATGCTCAGGAACAAGGAAGAGAGTTTGAGGGACAGATGAGAAAGCAGATGATGTGGAAGGAGCTAGAGAAGGTAGGGACATCATCCAGTGCAGGGGTTTCTGCTTGAATAAAACCGATTGTATTGGTGTGGCTACAATAGGTAAAATGATGTGTATCATAATCTGGCGTGTCTAAATTGGTTCTGAAAGTAAGTGGCCTAGTTATTCACAGATGACAGACAAAATGGAGATAAAAGTAGGAAGCAAATGGAGATAGGCTAATGAAGGAGGTGAGAGTTCAGGTGTATTGCAGAAAGGAATACTTCATTTTGCAATAGCCAAAAGTTTGTCCATTATATTAAGCTGTATAAACTGGTCAAATACAAGATACTATTTCTGCCTGCAAGCCTAGTCTTTCTCTTTAGACCTTTATAGTTTTAACAATAACCTAGGCACAAAAAGGATATTCCTGGATATTCCTCTTGTGAAACACTGGAATTCCTGCAAGGTCTTTCCTTTTTTATTTTCCCGTTTTTGCTGCTTTGCTGCTGTTCTGGATATTGTGCACCCAGTAAAAAAAGGGGGGGGTTTCTCATTTTTCTGTTGGAGGATGCAAAGGATTTGAAATGCTTATAAATGCTGAGGAGAAAGTATTGAATAGATAAACACAGATTTCTCTGACTTTCTGAATGCTGCACAGGGTTACATGAACACTTGGACTTGTAATTCAGGAATTTTAAATCCTAGTAGCTGAAACTCCTGAATAACCTTATTGTTAAGTTTGCCCTTCATATTCTTGCTGTCCTGTGCTGGAGGATGAGAAAACTATATATACCTGCAAGCTCATGAATCATTGAGCTAAAACTTAATTTTAAAAGCTACTTGCACAAGATAATTTGGGTGTTGTGTTAAAACTGGAATGCTGTTAACTCTGTTAGTAACTGGGTCTGTATCATGTCAAAAAGCTTTGATTTTTGAGTCATCCTGCAAAGTTAGTGTCTTGAAAAAATGAAGTAATTCAACATGTGGCTTTCCTTGTATTTTGACTGTGCTTTGTATTGATAAACTGTTAGGATAGTGAAGATAGAAGGGTTATCCTAATCTTACAGCTGAGACACAGAGGTCACAAAGCCATTTGGTCATGGAAACAGAAATACAAAGCATGACTTGTTCTTTTTAGTGCTGTTTCCTCTTGAGAGGTTTCCTCTATGGTAAAGAATTCCTGTCAGTGCTAAAACCCATGTGGGTGGTACAGTCTGTATGAAATAATCAGGAGGAATTGAAGTTGGTGTTACACTTTTAAAACACAATAGTGTATTTCCCCTGGCTTGCTGCGTTTCTTCTAAACAGACATGCTCTTCCTCCTGGGATAGGTAACACAGGTTTGTAACAGTACGCAACATGTTAGGATTATTTCATCCTGATCTATTAAAGGTTCCCAAATACACTTGCAAAATCCCACTGAAGTTTTATCAGGTGCATCTTCCCATGACAGAAATGCTCTTTCAGAGGTACAGAATTCAAACCCTTGGGGTCTACAGGGTAAAAATGGCACCTAGGTGGCTGAGGAGAGAACGTCTGTGTTGTTAACTCCACCAGTACATGGCAAGACGCTGGCCAGACATGGAGAGCGTAAATTGAAATGTGATGTAAAGTGCCCAGAGATGCAGCATGTTTCTGCTCTGAGCAGTGCTGGTCAGTGGGAGATATTTGCAAATGCCTTATGATTTTTCAGATGGTTGTAGTCACCACAAGTTTATTGTAAAAAAAAATCTGTCTGATGCTGCTGTCAGGGTAACTTAGACCAGGTTCAGCCCACTCTGTCCCTACTCTTTAGAAAATATTTGAGGAAACCTTGCAACCCCATTAACTTTTTCTTCTGTTGCTTCAAGTACCTCCTCAAGCCTCCATCACTGCTTTGATTGCAGCAAACCACAGACTATAAATCTGATGTTTTCTTACAAAAGCTAAACTGAATTTATATTTCTGCCATTATTCAGCAATAATTTGGTCTTATCCAAAGCCAAGATGATGGTGCAGGCCTGCTGTGGCCTTGTGCTCTGCAAGCACTCAGAAGTGGTTTTATGTAGTAGGAAATTATAAAATTAGATGATGTCTCGAAGGGATTAGTGGGAGCTACTGCATATTTCAGCATTGAGAACTGTGCTGTTACTGATAAATCCTCCCCGGTCCTATGGGGAGGTCCTATGGACTGATAGCAGTTACCAAACAGGTCTTGTTTCCTGCTTAGAGGAAGAACAACTAAACCAGAACAGATGGCAGGTTATGTGTCTAACTGCCGTCTTGATCATCTGTCCTTCTCTAAAATGTCACTTTGGTTTAAGAGTATATTTTAAAGGAGCCTAATTGAAGGAAGAGTGTTTTCTGCAGTGAAGAAGCATCCAGAAGGGCTGAGAAGTGTCTGTAACTGCAGGTTCCACCGAGGGGCTTGCCACTCAATCCTCAGGGAGGCCAGGATGCTTCTGTGACTTAGCACTGTGTCAGTGCTGCTCTGCCCAACGCAAAACTGAAGGTCCCTAACCTCAGGTCATGTAGATACCTTGCAAAAGGGGCGCGGAGAACTCCTGAGCACCTACAGCTGAATTTGCAGCTGCAGCCTTGAATTTCCCAGCGATTCCAAGCCAGACGCGGGCTCTGGTGCGCGATCGCTGCCTGTCACAGCGCAGCGCTGTCACCACCTCGGGTTGCCGTCCCGCCTGTTGCCGCTGGGGGGCGCGCACGGCCCGCTGGGAGCGCTGAGGGAAGCCCCGGCGACGGCTGGGCCCGGGCGGGCGGAGGGAGGGAGGAGGAGGAGGCACGGCCCGGGGGCGGAGCAGCCGCTGCCATGGGCTCAGCCGGGGACCGCCGGGGTGATGCTGCGGCCGGAGGAGCCCCCGCTGCCGGCGGCCGCGGCTCAGGAGAGGGGAGCGGAGCGCGGCGGCTAGCCCGCTGCCTGACCCCGCCACCGGGGTTAAAGAGGTAGGCCCGGAGCAGGGCGGGTGGGGAGCGGCGAGCAGGGGCTGCCCCGGCCCGGGGGCGGGCTCATCAGCACCCCTTGAGGCGGGGGGCTCCGCTCTACCCCGGGGCAGGGGCCGGCTCCGCCTCCGGGTCGCGGCTCCCAGTGCAGGGCACGGCCGCCATGGGCAGGTCACCCCTGCTGCGCGGCGCCGCCGCACGTCGGAGGCTGCCGGGGTCACTTCCCCGGGTGGATGCAGGCATGGATGCATCAGCAGCTCTCGGGCTCGCCTTGTCCCCGAGCCGCGGAGGCTCTGCCCCTCTCCCCTGGGCCATTTGGGAAGGGCTGTGCGAGAGGCTCCGTCCTGCCCGGCTCCGGTGTTCCCGGGGCTTGACTTGTTCGCGAGGGCGCGGGGTGTTCGCGTTCCTTCTGGCTGAGGAGGGCCTCGACTTTGGGTCTCCCGTGTGTGGGATGCGGTGTTGGGTAAAGTTGAGCTGGTGCTGAGCTCCTGAAGAGCTGAGGAAGTGTTTCTGTGCTCTTTTGTAAGTGACTATGGCTGCGGCTGTTACTTGCGTCTTGCGGAAACCAAGTCTGCTGGTGACTGTAAGATCAGAGAGCTGATGTGGTTACGTGGAATGATGCTTAGTTTGAGAGTCCTAGGTGCGGGTAGTTACGAGATGCTAACTGTTTAGCTCCATGAGGATGGTGACAGCAGTGATCTTGCAGACTGTCACCATCCTGGTGATGGATAGGGGACGCTTGAGATCCCTGAAGCCAAAGAGGCAGGTTTTGAAGTTGCACACTGTAGGCTAAGACACTCCCCCACCCCCAAAAGAGAGGAAGGCTACAAGACAAAGAGTAGAGAGTGCTTGCGGGTGTCCCCCTTCCTGACCTGTAGGTAGCTGCTATTCCACTGAGCCTGCCGCTGATGGAAAGTGAATAACATTCTCTTTGGGCAGATCGTCTAAAATCTTTTCTTGTCAAGATAAAAGACTTCGAAATCAGTCCTTAAAACAGCTTCCCCTCACCCCCTCCCTTCGTTTTGGCAGTTAAATGCTGATATGATTTATTTTTGTCTCTATGAAGAAAAGAAAAAATTAGAAACTCTTGTTCAGTTTCACTATTCAGAGACTTTTTTTTCCTATGCCTTTCCCTTGATACCATCACAACATCGATTTCACCTCTCCATCTGTGGTTGTCTGTGATTTGCAGCAAGTCAGACAGGTCCAAATCTTGGGATCTTTATTTTGGTTTTCTGTTCAGCATTTCCAAGGAGATGATATGATACTTTAGTCCATGATACCCACATAATTCTTGTGGTAAAACCACTGACAGCTCTTGTCTCACTTCTGGATTAAGATCTGCTTTATTAGTCACACATCTATACAGGGCCAGAAACAAGTAACAATTACAAAAATGAATGTTTAAGCTTGATTAAGATGACAGGGCAAAGTAAAACACTTAGCAGGGAAAAAGTTTCTTAAAGTATTAGTTCATGTTAGCTGGATTCTGTTGGTTTTATCAAGTGCCACTCATACTGCTGTTAAATAAGAAATAAAGAACACATGCCAATGAGTAAAACAAGATTCCTGTGTAGCACTGTATGGCAAGCTGCGTGTTTCTGCAACTAAATCCTAAGCCTGTTAGTTCTTATAAGAACAGAAACAACTTGTGTCCTTTGCTACTTGCAAGTCATTCTGTTCCCTTCAGGTACCTTCAGCTGAAAATAAACGCCTGTTTTAATATTGCTGTCTCTTGACTCTCCCACATATTGGTAGCTTGCTCAAGGCAGGGATAGCATTTTGGTATTTTCCTACTTAGAGGTCAGTCACATCTTTTGTGGAAGCATTTTCTTAAGCACCTCTCATTGTGGGCCTTGCCTTGCTGGCTCAGCTGTGTCATATACCCGTGTTGTGGAAATGAGGGCTTTCAGTTCCTAATCACAAAGAGTTGCCTTAGTTTTGCATTTTTAATTTTCCTCTAGCATATAACGCCTCATTTTCATAACGCTTTTTAATTTTGTGTAGCAGTTGTAGCAAATGAGACTACAATCACGATGAACGCAAAATAAGGTATTTGTGCAGGCCAGTCGATTTTGCTAAGTGAAAGCATTCAAGCATATTCTGCACAATACATTATTCTGGCAGAGTTAAATATATCCTGTAAATAGCTGTGAAATTCTTTAGTTTTACTATTTAAATCCTTGACATTCTGCTCTTTCTGCTTCTCCTTATACACTGATTATTTTCCCCTTTGTAGGGTTGTGGGGTTTTTTTCAGTGTTCTGAAGCTGGTATAGGAGGCCATCACTGAAGAACCTGTTAATTTTCGGCAATACTGAAATGTTCCTGCTGGGGTCTTTACTGTTACAAAGAGCTGTGTGGTTTTCTGCTTTAGCTATTTTTAAAGTTTTCTATGCCTACCTTTCCATCTTAATGACATGCCAGGAGAGCACTTCACATTCCAACAAAGGCAGTGAACTTTTTGAGTGAAAGCAGGTGGCTTTTAGAAAACTTTGTACAAGAGATTTAGTGCTGAATTTTCTTCTTTTCGTGTTCCTTAATGCAGTGTGATAAGTTAGAGCACTGTATTAAAAATCTGTGGGCCTGAACAGCTGACAATATAAAATACCTGACCCAAATCGTTTTATCAAGGAGCAAGGTCAGTGTCTAAAAGGGAAAAGCAAGTCAAATGTTATAAGGTTGAACAGGAGCATAATGCTGAGGCAAAATGGAAGGAGAGATAGGGGGAGTTATAAAAGCTTATCTTATTTCAGGCTTTGAGTAAAGAGGGAGGAGTTCGCTGTTGAGAAACAAAGACATTTAAAGGGAAGTGGTGAGAAAGAGATATTACGATGGGTACAGGATATAATACATAAAGTCTAAAAGGAAAGCTAACCTCAAGTTAGACTGCTTATTTCTTCCCTCTAAGTTGCAAAATGAAGTGATGATTTTAATTGTATTTTGTTTTATTTCCATAAATAGGAGAATCAGTAGCGGATATGTGGGAACATTAAAATGCCATCTGGAAGTGGTGCTGTTGTGCCTTTGGCTAAAGTTTCCATGATAAGTTAACACTGCTATTGAAAGATCCAGTGTCTCTTCCTCTTACTACCTGTTGTCTTTGTCAGTGCTAGCCTTAACGTGGCTCTGTGATGAATTGAGCCAAACAACTGATGGGAGCTAAAGTGACATGGCAAAGATACTGATGGTTGGTTTTTGACCCAGAACAATTTCCTCATTCATTCCACTGTTTCTGTCCTCTCATGTACAAAGGGTTGGCTTTAGGGTGTGAATGATGGAAAACGGTAGGCTACTTCTACTGCCAATGCCAGCTTATAGAATTTTGAGGTGATTGCGAAATTACAATCTTAACCAAAAAACACTTGCCACCCCATATTTTCATTATATCTTTGAAATGTCTTCAGTGGCTTTTATTTCAGATCTTAATGTTATTAAATACACAGTGAGTTCTATAATTACCTGAAAGAAGCTTGTATGGTCTGGTCTGTTTAGTAAGTACCTAATTACAGATGATGGTACATATATTGTTGATATTGCTATTTGCAACAGGCCCATCTTAACCATTTTAGAAGGTGTCTTAAATACACTGAGCACTTAAAACATTGTTTTTCTCTTACCATTCATATGGAACTGCTAAGTATTTGCAGTTGAGTCCTTTTTAACCATAGTATTTTGGCTTTTTATGCCTAGTGTGCTTTTCTAGTAGCATGTCTTGAAGAAATAGTGTGAGGTGGTTTGTTTACATCTATTTTCTATTGTTTCTTACTGTTGTTGTCTTCTGTTATATTTCAGGCTATGTAACACTCTAGTTCAGGACTGTGGATCTGTTAACTTATTCTCAGTGGTTTCAATAAACTTTGCTTCTGTCCCCTAACAAATGCTACTCTATGACTCTATGTTTGAGTCTTTATGAACATGATGAATATAAGATGCTCATGGTAAGTATTAGAAGGGCTGGTAATGTCACCAAGCTACCTGCCTGAAGTGTGTCTGCAACCTCAGTCAGAGCAGGGCACCCGTACACCTGAGGCAGCTTTGTTAAATGGACATTTCTTTAATGGATCATCTGCCAAATTAGTGGAACTGCTGTACAGCCATGCTTTTAATGATTGCTCTCATTGAATGGCCTTCTCCAAGCAGTAAGTTTGATATTATTAAAATAAACAGGGGAAGTTCAGGTTATATATAAGGAAGTTCTTTACTGTGAGGGTGGTGAGGCACTGGCACAGGTTGCCCATAGAAGTGGTAAATGCTCCATCCCTGGTGGTGTTGAAGGCCAGGTTGGACAGAGCCTTGGGTGGCGTGGTTTAGTGTGAGGCATCCCTGCCCATGGCAGGGGGGTTGGAACTGGATGCTCTTAAGGTCCTTTCCAACCCTAACCATTCTGTGATTCTATGATACCAGTTTTGGACTGTCTCTTTATGCCAGCTGCACTAGTCCTGAGCATGTGGCTGTGTCAGTGTCCAGGCCTGTGAAGCTGACTGCACAGACTTGCCAGGAAACTTTGGGAGCTTGGTAGAATTGTTTGAAAAGAATGCATTTTCCTGCTGTTTCGCAGTGATCCTCTTTAGAGTTAACCTGTGTGCAGGGGGGGAGGAAGAGTACTCCTTTTTGCTGAGGAGAAACTGGATGTGGAATTCTGTTGCAGTGGCAGCACTGTGTGCAGGTTGGTGCAGAAGCCTCCTTCAGGAGCACCCCCATAACCGAAATCTTTCCCTCAAACCCATTCTGTTGCAGACGATGGGTGCAAGTAGGTCTCCAGAGGCGCAACATCACCTTCTTTGAGCTGGAAAGTTGACTCAGGCTCTGCAGAGAGTGACATTTGCTCCACTTACGTGGAATAGGCTTTAGAAGGTAAGAGTAGCTACACGCCAGTGAGCATCTTCAGTCCCTGCAAAGCACCTTTTGTGAATGTGGATGTGCTGCTTTTAACGCTTGCTTCAATCAAGAGACTTGTGGTTTCCATTCCACCACTTGCAGATCAAGTACATTTTTCTTACC